ATAATCACAGACAGGCACAGACACACACAGATAATCACAGACAGGCACAGACACATACAGATAATCACAGACAGGCACAGACAGGCATAGACACATACAGGTAATCACAGACAGGCACAGACACATACAGGTAATCACAGACAGGCACAGACACATACAGATAATCACAGACAGGCACAGACATACACAGATAATCACAGACAGGCACAGACACATACAGATAATCACAGACAGGCACAGACANAGACACATACAGATAATCACAGACAGGCACAGACATACACAGATAATCACAGACAGGCACAGACACATACAGATAATCACAGACAGGCACAGACACATACAGGTAATCACAGACAGGCACAGACACATACAGGTAAACACAGACAGGCACAGACACATACAGGTAATCTCAGACAGGCACAGACATATACAGGTAATCACAGACAGGCACAGACACATACAGATAATCACAGATAGGCACAGACAGGCACAGACACATACAGATAATCACAGACAAACACAGACAGGCACAGACACATACAGATAATCACAGACAGACACAGACAGGCACAGACACATACAAATAATCACAGACAGACACAGACAGGCATGCTTACGGGCCGGACTTCCTGGCAGGAGTTTGTGAACTGACGCGCCAACCCAAAGTCCAGCATGTAGCAGGTCCGGGAGGTGCTGGAGAATCGGCCCATGGCGAAGTTGGACTGAAGATGGAGTTAGAACAGGAGGTTCAGTGATACCCTCACAGGCACACTGGACACAGGACTATCTGCGTCTGTGCTGGGCCATGTGACCCCCGCCCTCCCCTCCCCCCCCGCTGCCACGCCCCCTCACCGGCTTGATGTCCCGGTGCAGGAAGCCCACGGAGTGGATGCTCTCGATGGCCTCCAGCATCTGCCGCCCGAGCCGCAGGGTGGTGCTAATGGTGAAGGTCCCACGGGCCATGCTGCGCCTCAGGTCCGCCAAGTTCCGGCCCTGCACAGCAGAGGGCGCTCAGTCACGGTCAGCGGCCGGACCTGACAGCCACACACTAACGCTCGGATTCGGCCGTACCTGCAGCTCCATAACCACGTAGCTGAAGCGGTCGTTACGGCCGCAACCCACAAAGCGGCACACGTGGTCCTTACCTGCCAGAGAGAGACAGAGAGAGAGTCTGCTTAAGCCCCGCCCTATTTGGGATACCGCAGGGGGGGAAGTGGCAAACAAACACTGGCTCACATGTTAACCTCTAAACATCAGAGGTAATTAGAGTGATCACAGTGGGGATACACAGTATTCTATTTTACTGAACACAATGACCTAACCCTAACCCCCCCACTGGGCAGGAAAGTCACATGGCCATGCCCAGGTTACAGTTAACGAGCTGTGACCAACAGCAACAAGGCTAAACGAATCACGTGCAGGAAACAGATTGTGCAACACACAGCTATCCCCCCCCCCCCCCCCAAAGGTTGACAGTATCTTTCTTGTCTTCCTGCGCTCCCGACATGTCTGATCTGCTGTGTTATGTGGCACCCCGTCACCTTGCAGCTTCTTCAGCACAGCCACCTCCATCTTCAGGACCTGCTTGGGCTGCTTGGCCGACTCCACCTTCAGCGCCACGTTCATGTGCAGCAGCAGGTCCACGGCCTCGTAGATCTCCCCAAAGCCGCCACCCCCGATCTTCTTCAGCTGCAGGGCGCGCGTGGGAGTGAAGGTGGGAGGTGTCAGATGAGGAGGTCGACTCCCTCCCACCAAGGCTGAGTGCTCACTTCAGCTGCTCAATGTTCTTTTTAAATTACAAGCAAACCCACTTCTCCACCTGACCCGAGCCACCCAGCCTGGGAGGGCACAGCCATTCTCAGTACTGGTGTCGCTGTGGTACTCACCACTTTCCATCGCTCCTTCACCAGCATGGGCGTGCTGAGGATGTCCGGCTGTTCCCCTCCCCCGTTCATCTTGCCTGGTCCCTATGGTTTTCCTCCTTGCGTGTGGCAGGACATTCGCTGGTTGGGGGGGGGGGGGCGGGGAGGGCAGAGAGAGAGAGAAAGAGAGAGTATGCGACCATATTTCTGTTCTTGTGTACCTGTTTCACATCATCTTCCGTTGCGGGAGAGCAGTTCCAATCCTCAAGAAGAGGAGCACAGAGGATGGCAAAAATCCCCAGATATCGTTCCTGCCACACCCCAAATATCAATGAGATCAATCCCATGATTCACTGCACGCCAAGCTTGTTCTCGGGAGGTAAGCTGACAAGACCGGTCTTGCCAAGACTACAAGTACGATCTGCACGTCCTTGGTATTGAGGAACGCCCAGAGAGCCACTTACTGGGACAGCAAAGGGGCCGTGGGATGGTGGCAGATACCTTCTCCTGTCCTGCTTCCCACGAGTTCTCAGAGAACTGCTCTCACTAAGCCCCAAAGGGGCTTTCAGACTCGGCATGCTCCATAACCACATGACCTGCGCTAAGCTGCCAAGGCCAAAATGCAGCCCTAGGGCCAAACAATACAGTTAAAGGCCATTCCTAGATAATCAGCAGATCAAACTATGCTATGGTTATTTTAACACATTTTGCATTTCACCCCCACCCTTCTTATTGCACATTGTAGCATTGTATCAACCACTTAGGGAGGGTAACTAAGAAAAATCCAAGTGGCAGAAAATAAAAGTTTCAAAGCATCTTTCATTTTATATGAAAGGTGTCCACTGATTACACATAGTTTGATTGCTTTGCCGTTCCTGTCGCTACACAATGATTCTGGGCTTGGACACGCTGACCAGATCTCAGACTAATAAGTGGAAGTCAGAAATCAAGAGGTCGACTGTGGAGTTATAGTGAATCTCAGCGAACCTCAATGAGTCAAAGACGAGGTGACCCTGCCTCCGTTCACCACATGTAGCTTCTTTAGGTCGCGGTGAAGCACTAATTCGTAAAAGTCACAGGGAGAAAATTAAAGCCCCAGCCGACCACGGGAGCTAGAGAGCAGAAATCAGTCTAACAGTAAGATGCAGAATTCCGAGGCCCGACATCAAACACGAAGCCATTTTCTAGCTCTAATCAGCTGTGTATTTCAGAGGGTCCTGTGGCCTGGAACATGAAGCTCGTATTCTGCTGATCAAAGACAGACACGTGCCATCACTACGCCTGCTGTCGACGGCGGGATGCACACCAACTCCACCCAACAGGCAAAATGTTCCGAGTGCCTGACCCATTTTCCACAGACTCTCTGCAATGAGTTGAAACACTGACTGCAGTGTGTCCCCAGCTCCACAAGCAGGTGGCGCTGTTCAAATCAACTGCCACGGCAAAGCTATTGGCAGCAAATACTTTGCTTTGTCCTTCATCATTTTTGCATGAGCTGTGTCCAAATGCATGGGCTGCATCCTTTGAAGAGCACAGCCTGCAAAGGCTATGCCTTCATAGACTAAGTCTTTCAAAGGTCAAATGGAAAGTGTTACGGAACGGGACGGTCTGACCAGCACCAGCTGCTCTCGCCCTTACCCTTGAGTCATGAAGTATCCCTCCTATCTCCTATCCGGGACACACCCACTTTAACTCAATGAATCTTGGGATATGTTGGGGCATGAAGGATCCATCGGGTGGATCCTTTGTGACTCGGCAAAAGGACGCATTTCTAGACCGCATTTGAAGGAGCCTTCCAAATGGGACAGCCTTGCGTGCACCACCTGGTCTTCAAATGCAGGCTTAGAAGAATGCAGCCGCAGAATTTGCACATCGCCAGTGTCACTAAAATGCTGACTTGAGATCACGACCTGCGATGCTCTGGCGGGAGTGGCACACCGATCACCAGTGACGGCCATCCAGGGGGAAGTCAGCAACTTCAGGTTCCTCTGCATCTAGATCTCAGGCTGAGGTGGACAGAGAACGCTGGACCAATCGTCATAAAAGCCGGTATGCTCGGTCACCTACTAAAGGCTGGTGTATCATTCTTCATCAAGCCTACACAGAGCTTACGCCATAGCCTACGCTAGTGAGCTACACCATTGCCAGAATTTATACTTGAGCACTGGTGTTGTTCATCTCCATCACTGAGGCTGATGCGATACGCATCTTGATGCACTGCCAAAGATATGATAAAAATACATAAAAAGCAACTACTAATACTATGCAGTGTGATTCAACATGATATGATGTAATGCAAAATAATATGATACAGTTTGATTTTATTTCTTTGGTTCTTCTTAAGCAGACAGCAAATCATAAATTGTTTTAGGCTGCTGGGTGGCTTAATGGGGTAAGCGGTCATTTATCAGCCAATTATCTTCCAGAATCGTCTTTTGGGGGCAGCATGTGGCTCACATGTGTCTCTGTGCCTGTGATCGGAAGGTCGCTGGTTTGAGTCCCAGCCTCGGCACATGTCTGTGGGCTCCTGAGCAAGACCCTTAATTCCCAGCTGTATGGGCGCTGCTACAGGTGGCTGCCCCTCACTGCTGAGCTTGCTCGCACCTACAGTATGTGTGTGTCATGGAGAGCCAAATTAGGTGGGCCAAAAATGACAATTAATGTAATTAATCAGATTTTACCAACAGAAAGATGCATCCCAAGTTCATCCCAAATTGTATCCGGGGCAATCGCATCGTGAACTTTTACGCCAGTGTGATGACAGGCTACACAGACCCAGATAATACCACTGAACATGTCCTCACCAATAGCATTACAGTATTGTACGGTGAAGCCACAGCTGAGGACAGGAAACCATAGAGGGTTTTGAGGCCACGCCAGAAGTTTATAGAGACCACACTGGCATCCATCTATCCGATAAGCATCAACTGCTGCTGTAACAAATACATCACGGGTTGGTCTGACCGAGCCAAAACCAGAAATAGCCAATAGAAAGGGAGTTAAACCAGTGGATGACTGACAGCACACGATAATCCCGCCCACTGATATTACTGGCTGATTCTGTGCTGGGCTTTCTCACTTCAACTCCTTAGTCTTCACACTTTATAGTCACGCTGACCTGGTCTTATCAGGTAGAGAGGAGGCTACGTAAGCTGACGATTCTCTGAGCAGGCGTGGGAGCCCGCCAATCACAGGGGCACCGCAACCTCATCCTCGAACTGCAAGAAATTTTACGTCTGCGTCATGTGGAGAGGGAGATCTCTCTCTGGGGGATAATTAACTAGACAAATATTAAGAGTGAAAAAACTCACGAGAACCCATTAGTGCATCAGGATGTGAAACTTCAGGATTCAGGTGTCGCCTTGTCTCAGTGTGTTAGAAGTTCACATGTTTACCATAGCTGTCAAGTCTCCCGTTTTGGCCGGGAAACTACCGTATTTTACCCCTCTTTCCCGCCCTCCTCCCGTATTAGTATTTTCCCATAAATCTCCCATAATATAATATCATTTAAAAAAAATTCCTCTGCCTCTCCAAACTGAACTGTCAGTAGCCTCATGAGAACTGCCACCTGCAGTCTGCAGATCATTTACAACATTAACCAGGTCATAAATGCGGAGGTTATAATGGCAATGCTGTGTGCCAAAAACAACGTTACTTTCACCTTCTGTGACGACTTCAACACGGATACAAAGTCTGCAACAAATCTGTATAATAAGTCATTAGTGAATGCCAGAGAGCCACACGAGTGAACATGAGAAATTAAAAGAAAATGTGTAATGAAAATAAAAAATGTAAATGACAAGTGGTTATTTTAGATTTCTTGTACACCTGTCTTAAAATGTAAGGGATACTGGAGCTTGGTTGGGGTGGTGGGATGGCTCGCGGTGGGTGCCGGAAAATTTCCCTTATTTTCAAATCCAAAACTTGACAGGTATGATGTTTACCCAGGTGTAAACTCCTCAAAATCCTGTGCTGGTTAAATGAAAAAATTATGTGCAAAAAAATATAACCACGAGACTTTCTGTGGTTATCAATTTACCATTACAGGTAGGTTTCTTGACTTTGCACACTCTAAACACCAACCTCAAATAAATACACTTTGCAAATGAGGACATTCTATTCCTCAGCTGGCTATATAAAATATTGTTTTGTATTTTAGAGACAATAATGAACGAGTGCGGGACTACCAAAGTAGGCTTGCCAATAAAATAAAATCACCACATAAAAATCCAACAGCTATAAGACAAATGTGTTCATTCTTTAATAAACAAAAAATGTTAAATTATACATGTGACATGATCCTGTATGCGACTGAGCTACAAAGCCAGAGGAGAGATGGAGCAGCAGCAGCCCTGTTTGGGGCCAGAAAACATCATGTGCTTCTTCTAAGTCGTTCTGACTGCAGACCTCGAGAAACGATCCGTAACCCAAATTACTGTTACATTTACAGCAAGAGAGAGGAATCCTGGCAAAAACAGACCCTAAACCCACAGCCTCCACACAGCAGACTGAGCAAGGGAAAAACCACTTCATCTTTCATTACGAACACAAGGCGGAGGGAGGTGACAAAAACACGTCTCCACTGCAGTCACACCACGCCCCGCGGCTGGGGGGGGGGGGGGGGATGGGGCACAGCCGCAGGGCACATGAAACTAGACACTGGGGTCACATCGATTCATCATGGAGGCGGCTTTACCAAAGGTCAGCTGGCGAGTGAGCCGGGACTCAGTCGCATAATCAGTGCGGGAATTGCACGCTAGAGCCTACGAGGGGCTGCCAGTCTGACTTGGCTCTTTCGGCCCATACGGCAGGTGCGATTACTCAGCAGAAACAGCGACGCGCACGAAGCCGGCCTCTCGCTGCAGAGGGACCGCGCAATAATCGCAAAGAAAAATAGAGCAGCGACACACAAAACGTAGGACAGGTCCAGGCTAGGAAAAAGGCACAAGGAATCAGGGTCCCATAGTGCTGAGCTCGGGCCGAATGCAGGAGAACCATCAGAGAATCAGGCACACAGAGACTCCTTATCTCAGCTGGAAATGCCAGGACGCCATCCGAGATGTATTTTCTTGTAGACCATTTCCTTGTCACCACAGCGATGCTTGGCACTCCAGGGGAACCGAGATATGATTTAGTTACAGAGCAAGTAGGCGTGGAGGGTAAAGAGTAATTGCACCGATACGACAAAGTTTGCTCGGCCTAATGGAGGCTGGCCATTGTGTGCGTCCAAATCGCCGTGGCTACAGCAACGAAAGTAACCATTGAGGTATCAGTGAAGGAATGAGCCGGTCCACTTAGAGTTTCCTTAAATAAACCGGCTGCAGGAACATCACAACAAAAACAAGCACGGGTGCAAGGCAGTCAGCGATCATGTAGAATTCCCGCAGAATCAATAAAGCGGGCGGAAAATGCCGGCAACACACCAAATTTATTACTGCAGAGAACCAAGCATGAACGGTTGAGAGTGACAGATCCGGTAGGTTATGATGACTTTGGGCTACAGCAGCATTTGACGGAAAAGAGACTGGGTCTGCAGCCTCTCGTACAGACAGGGGGACGATCACACCCGCTGACCCCAAATCCCAGATGGATCTCGATTATTCTCTTTTTACACTGTGCAGGAAGAGGCCCGCAGCTCCCAGCACCAATTTGACCTAAGATAGTGGGACTCTACCGATGACCACTCAGACCAGCAGCAGAGTGTCTTTCCATTTTAAACCCCTTATCCAGCGGGACGCAGGAAGGCAGCAGTGTACATGTGACGGCCCCCAGGTACTGTGAACACGCGCACTGAGGGCACATAGCCACAGGCTTCTCTCCTCGCTACACTGAGGCTGACTTTCATGATGCCTTGTTGAAGCCATCATCACAGAGCAGCGTGTAAATCAGGGAGTTATGGTTTGACCCCATCGCCTGCCCAGTAATCAAATCATTATTGAGCCATTAACCCCAATTGCCCCAAGGACCCCTGCTGACCATGTTCTCTCTGACCCAAAGCTTCCCTCACTTGTACATTACTCTGGAAAAAAGCAAATAATACACTTAAAAATACTAATTTTGCAAGATCCCATGCATGTTGTCGGAGATATTTGTAGTCTTCAATTGGATTTTCTTTCATTTGAGACAACGTTCCAAAGAAACTCCATACCTACTTAAGGTAACCGAAGGCTAAGGTGACTCATCCACTACTATCTTAGTACATTTATCTAAGTATGCTGAAGATCAAATGGTTTTCTTTCATTTCCCAACTTGAAGGTGAGAATTCAATTCAAAGCTGTGTAACAGGGGAGATTTTACAGGGTAGAGGACTATCGGCAGTTGTGATGAGACAAGACACCATCACCATTTTGATGTAAAATACGGACACCAGGCTAGTCAACAAACAAAAGCTCTTGACATGTGGCTGCCAACTTTCCCAGTACAGCTTCCTAGCAGGTGACTGAGCAGCTCTGTCCCGAAGCTCTCAGAATGAAACTGTCTCTCTTCTAACCTTTCCAATTTCACTGGTGTCTAAGAACAGGTCAGTCAGGGAAGGCTGCTCTTAGGGTTCCAGGCAATACGAAGACCTGATGATCCGGGACAGGGTGACTTGACAGCTGGTTCAACACAACACAGCCAAACATGCAGTCTACAGGGGGTGTGTCCATTCATGCTCTTGGTGGGTGTGGCTTTTGTTGTGTTCCAGGATGTATTGGGAATATTAGTCACTGTTTCAGTAAAACAGAAAAAAATGACCCCACCCAGGTTTTTGCAATGCAGATACCAACTGTGAATTGAAATGTAGCCCACAAATAAATTGCCCAACAGGGTGATGTTATTTTTATTAAGACTTTAATTGTCTACTGAGAAATGGGACATGATGAAAACTGTTCTGTGCTGAACTGAATTCCATTACCAACGTCTGGGGTCTACATGTGATCATGGGTCAAATCGATTCATTATCATAATCATTTCAATTTCATAATCATCATTACAGCTTTTACCCAAAGGAACCAACTGAAGTGTTGGTAACACTTGAGGGGACACAAATAACATAGTATTATGCTATTACCTATGTATTAATTAACCACAAACTAAGTGTTAGTTACATAGTGATCTCATGCTTGGTCATCATTAATGAATTCTGACAATTCATCCCAAGCAATTACTATGTTTGTTATTGTATCAGTTAATTCTGTAAATATTTCTGAACTACTGAAGGGACTATTGAAGGAACAAGAAATAACACAAGTGAAATACTGTCATGTTTATTCATCATTAATGAATCATGACACATCTTTCATCTTAAGTAGCGACTATATCTGTTCATGATTTGTACTTCAGCAGTAACTGAGTTCCTGTAAAGTATTTGTGTCCCCTCAAGTAAAGTGTTACCAAACTTTTCTTTAAGTATTTGCTTTCTTTTATGCACATTTCACTATTTGACTTAAAAATATAACATCTCCTGGGACTTGAACCGATAACCACTAAGCTTAAACCCTAACACAACCCAGCACCTCAAGGTGACATACACAGCATAATCAGTTCATATGGATGCTGCCCAACTCCAGCTAGGCTTTTAAAGCCATTTTCCAATTTGTTGAAATGCAGGTGTGGCCATAAATGCAAAACTCCACAGCCAGGCACAGTTTCTCCTTTGGTGATACACAATGCCGCATATCAATGCCTCAGCCTATCCACTGTAACCTTATCACATTTTAACAGCTCGAGAACAAGCCTTCTAACATTTCATATGTCTCCTGAGCTTCACCACCAGTGTGCAGTACGTCCTTGCAGGTACCAGGGGTGACAGGGGCGTCTTTGGTGCTGGATCTGGGAACTGGGCCGTGTATTTGCCCAGTCTTGTTTTTGCTGATACTGACTTGAGGACTTTCCAGAGCAGCATCACCTCCTGGTCTAACTAACAGCACGGTCTGGCAATGCATGGCTCGTGAACATGAAAATATATTATGGTTATGGGGAAAATTAATGATTACACGGGGTGAAAATAAAGGGGTAAAGTCCAATTCCCATAATGACAACAGCACAACAATGAGCACGAGAGGGCTGGCATTTCACTAAAAAAAGTTATTTTCTAATTCTTTATTCAAATTATCTTTGTAATTATTATTGTTGGCATTATTATTAGCCTATCTTACTGGATTTCTTCTGTAACTATGGGGAGATGCTGATCAGAATGTCCATCCTGACAGAATGCGGTGAGTTAGCATTGATGGAAGACTGATGTCCCACTGCGGGATCAGTAAAATGGTTGTAAACCTGCTGTCACAAAGGCACGAATCAGTTCCTCTTCATCACTAGGACATCTCTTACATCCTCTGCCATTCTGTCACATAACCTGGGTAGACAGTTATCCACCCTGCATCAACACTCTAGAAATTGCATCTGTATCGGGCAAAGGGGTTATTAACAACTCATTTCAAGAGTGATAGCCTACTGATGCCATCAATGCATCTTTTCATGGTTTTCATAAAACTGCCCTGTGTTCCGGTTTTTTAACGAGACCCCAGATCAGATGGCGAGCTACGCACTTTTAAACTAGCCTGTAACCTGTTATTCCCACGTTTAGCCGACATTATCCATCCATGCAATCTGTACTGCTTCGCAGCCCTTTACGTTTTTCATCTGGAGAGATTGCGACTTATCAGGCCACATTACCGACGGTGAAGCTAGCTTTGTGGAACTCCTCGCCCCCCCCCGGCCAGCTAATTTCGGAAGGATCTCCCGCAAACCCGCAGCGTTGAGACGGATCGCGCCAGCCGCTGTATCCGCAGCGCATCCCCGCCGCAGCTCCCTACACCCCCCGGCATGCTAAGGCTAATTCAGCTAACTAGGCGCCGGGCTGTAAGTCGCCCAACTCGTTTAGCCCCGGGAGGATCCACATTTGTCGTCACGCAGCGTTTTCCTGGCCGCTGGCCATTCCTACCTTTGTCGGTTTTTTATGATCCGATTGCCGGGTGTGGTAAACAACAACAACCAAAAAAGAAATCCTTTACGTGCGCCGTGTGTTGTGCATTCCCATAGCTGCGAGGCGTCGGCTTTTCACCGGCTGCCGAGTGATAGATGATTTATTTTATATTTGGCATGGCTGAATCAAACTAACTGGAGCCTTAAAGAAAAGGGGGACGTTCAGCTTGTGCTCGTCATGGCCACAGTGGGCATCTGTCCTTCTGTACGTCACAGATCAGCCCCCCGGTCCCGGAGCCCCGCAAGTGCCCCCAGCAGCCGCGATCCTTCTCCGGCTAGCAAAAGGACCCTCTCTCATTAACCGCGGCCAGTGTACCGCGATGCCTCGTAGGCGAGCGCCTCAACACCGCCCCCGTGGCTCCAGCCAATTGCTAGCCTCAGACCGACTCCACGTTTCACCGATTCACATTTTCTTATAGTCATGCTCAGTAAATATCCCTGCCTAGACGTATTCATAGGAATTCGTATTTTAACGGCCTTTCATCATGTTGCAGCGTGGGGGCGATTGAAGCCGAATGAACATGGACTCAAGCCGTGAGAGACAATGCTCTCCTGTTTCATTCAAAAGAAGGAAAAAGCTGTTTAAACTGAGATACAAAAGGAAATTAAACAAAACCACTGTGTCCATTCTTAGTATCGTCTCTCAGTATATAGGGAACAATTTTGTCACATTTGCTGTATCACGTAAAAGTGCTACACAGGGGGGTATATACCTATTTTATGCAAATGCGTAGGAATGAATAATATTATGACTAATGATTAATCAGCCTAGGGAAATGAGTAGTCTGAATGCAGGGTAATATACTGTATATCTATTTTCAGTCCTGGTCATGCCTTATCTCCATGAATATGTCTCTGTAATAACACCATTATATTTGCATTTTTAGCAGATGCTTTTGTTTTTGATCAGCCATTGTCTTGGGGGTTAAGGGCCCAGTGCTGAAATCACTCTACCAGCCACAGGAATGAATTGGGAGCCTTCTGATCACAGACATTGAGTCCTATGCTACAAAGCTATACACACCACCATTAGTGGGCCCTTATTTTCTTTGTTGAGTAAGTAAGTTTTCTGCATCCAGAGACTGTCAGATAATCGTTTCATTTTGCAGTCATATCCATGATGTGCGTGTGTGACCTGGTAAAACATGTTCCACTGACAGCTGTCCCTTCGGCCAGCTGCAGTACATCCAGTCAGGTGCACTGATAGACATTTTGGGCCCCATTAGAGTATAACTATTGGGCCCCCGACCCAGACCAATCCAATTATATTCCAATTATTTTAGGGCCCCTGCCACTCAGGTCCTTCAAACCATTGTAATGTTCCCCCTCTTTTTGCACCCCTGCACTTAGTCAGTATGATTTTGCATCTATCATGGCTGCTTTCTTTGTAGTATATATGTTTAATCAATCTTTTTAGTATGGTGTTCTGTTTTGTTTACATTCAAGCGTGGAAGAATAATAATAATACATTTTATTTATAGTGCCCTTTACATCACAGGATCTCAAAGGGCTACAAGTTAAAAACTATAGTGCAGTATGCACAGTATGCAGATTTTCCTGTTCAAACACACCTACTAATTCTGGCAATTAGCTGATTAAGATGTGTTTAAGAAGGGAAATCTGCAAACTTTGTTGGCTCGGAAATGGGGAACTCTTCTATAAATATTCCTTGCATACCCATACATTGTGAGACACAGATCTACTTCTTACATGTCTTGCAGAAAATACTTGCGTGTGTTCTTTAAAAAAAGAAAACACGTTAGTTTGTTTTTGAATTATTTTGCGGTGTAAGTGTAACCTGAAAAGAATCTCTGATATGTCCACCAGAAACAGGGCGGCGTGGCAGCTGAATTCAATTAGGGTAAATGCAAATACAGTATTCTTTTTAGCCGTGGTTTAGTCATATATGCCTCTTCACTCCAATCCTCTAGGTGGCAGTATCGAGGAAGCACTCCAATGTACACTCCGGCGTCGAAACTGGTAGAAGAATGAGGGTCATGCGCGCTGTGCGCTTGATTGAAGGAATTCGCAGTTTTGCATGTCTGAGCTCGGAAGTTCTCAAGTTTTGAAGTTGGGCTTTTCTGGCGATATTTAACTTGGAGTCACAGTAAGTACTTTGTGGCGCTTCTGAATTTCGTTGTTTGTTTGAAGTTCATTGTAAGACAGTGGAACCTGATATGTTATTGGCGTAAAAGCAGAATTTGCGCTTAAAGGTTTCTTCGCTGGAGTCCTTGCTGACGGGTGTTTTGTTACAGGTAGTTTATCCGCCAGAAATAACCGACACGAAGGCGAAGCTTTCCTACCTATAGAATTAGGAAGCTAGATTGTCCATAGTTTATGTTACTGTTTGTACCCGTACTTCACGGTAAATACTTATACTTTTTAAATCAAATGTATCATAAGGTGATGCAGTACTTCTAGGTTCTATTACTTGTATGTTAGTCGATGACGGGAGGGGAAGACAGTAAACTAGAGAAACCGGCTTCTTCTAATTGAGTAACAGTGGCTGTTTAATGTTTTGTTTTTACGCAGTGGCGTGTAATAAGGTAGTTTTTAAAAGACACGTTTCGCAGCATGGAATAAGACAAGAAGTAACGGCAGTAAACGAAGCCGGTTACCTAGATGTTAAGAATTGTATGATTTCATTACGAATTTCGATCTTTTTTTTCCATTTAGTGGTTATTATTTGACAGTGCTAAGAGCAGTCAGTCTTCAGGGGGCTTTCCGAAGTGCAGAGAGGGCGGCTGAGGATGTTTGGGACGTGGTGTCAGACCACGTGGTGTCAGACCTTCTCAGCTTCCTTTGGGCACCTTGGCGTCCCTGGGACGCTCCGCTCGCTCCATATTGAGTGGCAGCGCCCCACCTCCGTTCCTGTGCTTTCCAGAGAAGTGCCTGCTAGTCCACAACACGCCAGTGCCTTTGCAGCGCCATATGTTATCCTTGGTATCATTTCCATTTATATTGATAAAAAAAGTACATCAGATAAGTTTGAGGAGATGATACGCGGTTATATTTATCCCGGTCTCTGCGTCAGGAAAAAGTTAAATATTTCCAGTTGATGATTGTATTGTTTAGTTAAGGGTTTGTTAAAGAATTCATGCAGGCCAGGAGGAAACTGATTTGATCAAAAACAGGAAAAAGCAGTATCAAAACTATCAGCTCACCATGACCGTGTACCATCACCATGCCTTTCCTATGAAAACTGAAACAGAATGAAATGCCCTCTCTTCCCTAGTCAGGAAACTAAGGGCTCAGGTTCCCTGCAAAAACAGGAAAGAGTATCAGGAGATTCCACACTGGGAACTGGGCACTGTGTCACTGCGAGCTGTCACCCAGCTCCGCTCTGTGTCTGCTGACTCGTCCAGGGCGGTGACAAGGGCTTAATCTGTCACTGACAGTAAGAGGCTGACACCGGCCTGGCCTACAGCTTTCTGATTGTCTGAGGGTTTCCGTCATCTTGAAGCGAGTTGCCTAGAAACACTTCCGTTCTTTATTTTGGCATATGGAGTTTTGTATGGGTGGCGCGGTGGCATTTGCCAGTGACTGTTGTCACTCTGCCTTTACCTGTGCGCATCTCCTTCTGACCATCGGACTCATACTGTGGTGGCTTTATCCTCTCCATTCTCACATCTGTATCCGCTTTCGTTTTCCTCCCAAAATTTTGTTCATCTTGTTTCACAAAAAACAGTCTGACACATACCTTATGAGTGCTTGCTTTGGAGGGTACTGTCAGGGTTGCCAACTTTGGTCAGCTAACTGGCATGAGATATTCAATTTGAGACAAGTCAGCACATGCATTTACATGTATGTAACGGTTTTATTACCTTGTAAATACTCCATAGGGTTTGCAAACTACCCCAATGCTTTTGATGTAGCTAATTCCAGGTTTATAATGAAATAATATGTATTTTGCTGTAAGATTTCTTGCGTGAGAGTCTGAAAGCGTGAGCAGCACGGCAGATGCGTGAGAGTTGGCAACCCTGGTACTACATGGAGGGATATTTTCCCTGTAAACGTTTAATAATCTTTTTTGTCTTAGTGGTTGCTTATCTTCTATAAATGTATCCAGATATTAGGTCTGCATTCCTATATTGTTTAAATAATTAACATTGCAAGCATGGGGAACTACCTGTTTTTCCAGTTATGACATAATCCTCAGTCACCCTGAGGACAGCAAACGGTAAGGGTGCTTTTTAGAGATGCACCGATACCGATATTCGGATCGGTATCGGCGCCGATCCAGACCTATTTGACGGATCGGGTATTGGCCATGCGTGACCAATCCACGTCCTATACTTACTTATTTAGTTTTTGGCAATCAATCGCGCGACAGCTCTTTCCCATTTTACATGTGTGTTTTTGCGGCATTCAAATCGAACGCTATCGCTGCACCTCAGTCTTTTTTGCTACTCAGTGGGTGTGAGTACAGTGACTTCCGCCTGCTGTGACGTCATGCTCATACCCTTCGCAGTACGAGGAGCGTAAGATGTGACGATCTGGGAGTATTTTACGCTTTTAACAGAAACCAGTAGCACAGCGATTTGCAATATATGTAAAATAAAGTTTTGAGGTGGGAATAGTGTTTAATGGACAATCCCATTTAACAAAGCGCACGCAACTGCGAGACAAAACAAAGCAATGGATGATTTGGGAGTCGCTAACTTAATTGGACTGTTTTGCAAACTCGCTGCAGCTTGTGATACAAGAGGGGCTGCCATCGCAACAAAAGTGTAACTGCGCTGACGGCAATGGGAGAAAAACTGTTAATTTTAAGCATTTGCCACTT